ACAGCAACTAGAACATGGGAGGCATTCTAAGACGATTTCTGAGAAGTAAAAACCTTTTTTGCAGTGAGACATTCTTGGTATGCACTGGGTATCTGTTGTCGGTGAACATTTACGACTTACTACTAATCCTCGTTCGCATYGTTTGCAACGTKTACAGGAAGATCGTGAAWAGGAATCAGAGTAGGTCCCTTTTGAGCAGGCTATGCATTCGAACTTTCTTTCACTGTTCTTTATTAATGAACCGCATTGAATGGAGGTTCCGAGGCCTGGTGGACAATAAACGCATTGTTGACATATGATGGTGCCATTTCTCTGCAATATTGTGTAACTATCTCGACCACATGACTTGTGAATTGTAAGAATAGCCTGGAAAAAAATAACACTTTGCTTTTAAAGATGCAATAAGACTGAAAAACTGAATAGCTGTTATTACAGTTAAGCTCGCAATTCGATATTCTTTTGTTTTAAGAATCATACAAGTGAGGCTATAGAGCCAATACAATGCMTGTTGTCTCATTTGCATCTCATTTGCATGCATCCATAATATCTGCTATTTMCAACCTATCTTCCTACGAATAATGTATTCAGCGTTTACTCGGGTTTACTGTCCCATAGGATCTTAAACTGTGATATATCACCATATTCATATAGTGGAATATTGATGGGAGRCTGGTACTGATAAACATCAAAACRAGGCTATTTACACTTTCAGAAATGTGCATCACATTTATATTAAACGTSCGTTTTCTCTAAAGGTTATTTTGTACATCGAAACCAAACAGAAGCCCATTAAATGATTGAYTCATTCAGTTTCTGGTTTCCTCTTTGATCATTCCGTCTTTTTTACTTTTTTCGGTGTGTTTTATTTCCATATATACCTATTTTAAATAAATTTGTTGGACAAAGATCCGAGGTAGACGATCAGAGACTAAAAGGATATTCAATACTGCTTTTCAGCTATTTTAATAACCGTAAATACTATATCACGATGCCATACATGCTGACGGCGACAAATGAAAAACAGCAGGCGCTCCTCTTCCAACGTCACAGCTAATTTGCATACATTTTCGTCTTACAGCTAAAAAGACATATTTTCGCCAATTTTCATTGCACTTCCAAATCAGTGGACAACACGAGACATTTGGTTTTGAAAATCAACAAGTGAAAGGAATCATCTGGCAAAAGGTTGTTTCTATGATATTTGCACTTTAAATGTTACATTTTGCAACCTGTACTGCACTAACCTTTGACTCGCAAATTCCATCGAAAATTAGAACTTGAAGAAGAAAAAGAASCAGCTTCATTTTTGCCAATATCCTCTCCATACAGTCACAGTTTCTATTGATTCCACTGAAAGAGTTAGAAAGTACTTGTTGGAAATACCCAACTTTAACTTATATATTTTTAATTTGCTTTCTAAAAA